GGAGTGGAAACTTTCCATGCACCCCCCTGCCCAGAAGGTCAGAATGCCCGGGCCACCAGTGGTCACACCTCCTGCCGCCACTGGCTGCTCACTTGGGCATGTCCGGTCTTGAATTGATATTTTGTGCGCGTTCTGTTGGGAGCAGGAGGGGCATGGGGTCGAGCACAGAACTGGGGGCGTTTAGCACAGTGTGTGGCCGCTGTGTGCTCACCTGCTGACGGCCCCGGGCCAGACACGTTCTCCCTTCGGACGGACGTCGCCCAAGCTGCCTCTGGGGCTGCAGGAAGGACAGCCCGGGACAAGTGCTTGCTTAGTGTCGGGGCGAGTGTCCACCCCGTGCAGCCGACCGGGCTCTCGCCCTCAGGAGGAGGGTTTGTCCCTTCGGGTGGAAGGGGCTCTGGAGGCTGCCCCAGGGTCCTCGTCAGTCTCGGCCGAGAGTCTGCAGGACTCGGCTGGGCTTGTGGTATGAGGTCCTGGCACCTCCGATTCCTTCCCAGCCTGACCAGCGTCCTGCGCGCTTGTGTGCCAGGGTGGGCACCCGGGGGCCTGGACGCCTGGGTCCCCATCCTGCGACAGATGTCCCCAGGACTGGGCTGGCTGCCTGAAGCCGCCAGGAGTGCTGTGCCCTCTGATGGGGGCAGGAGGCACAGGAGGGGTGGTTGGGCTCCGTGTCCGGCCAGAGCAGTGGAGGGCGATCCTGAGAGGAGAGGAGGGCTGTGGAGGTGGAGAGTGAGCGAGGAGGCGGGGAAGACCTACAGGGGCACGGAGAGGGGGCAGAAGTAGAGAAGTTGGAAGGGCCACAGGCTTTGTCCAACGTCCCAAGACCCAGACATTGTCCTTTTCCAGGTCTGTCCTCTCTGCCGTCTCACCCCTCCTGGGCTTTGGCCCCGCCCTCGGTAAACAGAAATAGCAGTTCTGTTACAGGGTTTCCTGCAAGACAGCCTCACCCAGATCTGGAGGAGACGGGCAGGGTGGCCTCCCGGACACCCTTCTCTCCTACCTCCTTCCACCACCAGCCACCCCCAGTCCCAGCCCGGGTGGACAGGAGCCATCCGGCCAGCGGCAGCCACGGCTGGTCTGCGTGAGGGGAAAGGGGCCCCTTGTGCGGTGAGGTGCACAGGGTGGTGGGTCCTGGCCAGCCCCAGCCCCAGGGTCTCCACTGTGACCGGTGGGAAGGGCGCCTCTCTGCTTATCCTCGTTCATGTGACACCCAGGAGGCCTCAGGGTCAGTGCCAGTTCTGCCCCAACTTGTGCCCTTGTGGCCTCATTTCCCGCATCTCCTTGGAGAGGGTTTGTTCCACATGGTGGTCCGTGAACCTGAACCAGAGGGGGCAGGTGCCTCTGTTCCCAGCCTGCTTTCTGATGTGAGCTTCCAGGCTGCTGGCGTTTGGCTCGGCTGTCCCACAGCGCCAGGATTCTCAGATCAGGGTTCCTGTGCCAAGCTGCACCTGGAGCCAGGAGTCAGGATGGAAAATGGAGAGCCCTGCCTTTTCTAGAAGCTTCTCTCTCTCCAGCTGGAAAACCGCAGCAGCTTTACTTGGGCCTGCCCTCCACGGCGTAGGAGACGGGCCTTCCCTTGGGGATGGCATGATGGTTAAAGCAGCATGAGACATGCAGGCAGGAGGCCTGACTTCCGGCCGCGTGTTTTGAACTCGTCACTTAGCTTCTCGGATCCTCAGTTTCTGCGACGGTGAAGTGGGTCTCACGTCCAGAGAGATGTGGGAAAGAAAGGAGGCCAAAGAGAGGGTACAAGTCTCGCCGACAGGGTCGTTCTGAACGTTGAATGGCACACCAGATGTGACATCACCTGTAAACCACCGTATAATGATAGTATTCTATTCCAACATCCGATATTGATTGAATTCCTATTTTGTGCGAGGCAGTGGGTGAGCTCCAAAGGTCTGTGTGAGGTTTCCTTTCCCTGAGGGAATCACAGGGGATCCGACGAGATGGACAAGTCGGTGTATGGATCATCATATTGTGGGGCGAGGGGAGCGGCGGCTGAAGCCTGCCCACCATGCTAGAGCAGCCACGTGACTGTCCGTGCACGGACTCGCTCCTGCCCGCCCGTCCTCTGCCCCACACACAGCTCGATCTGTCGTAGCACAGTCTCATTCGAGTCGCTAAAGGCTGCCGTGCGTTGGGGTTCATCTAAAGTTGTGTATGTGGCTTATGCCGCAGCCCTGCACGATTTACTCTTTCCCGTTGCCCCACTTACGCCGTATGCTCGGTCCACGTGGAATTTATTTCTGTTGGTTGCACACACCACCCTCCCTCGCCGTCGGCCTTCCCCACACGCTCTGGCTGTGCCTGGATGCACCTGCCATCACCCTTCCCGGAGCCTTCCCTGGCTCTCACTCGGCAGACCCCCAGGCGCTCCCGTGGCTGCCATGTGGCAAGGACTGCTGATCCGGTGCTGGTGACCTGGGGGCAGAACAGAGCATGTCTCTTCGTAGGGCTGCGGTCCTGGTCATTTCTAGCTCAGCTCTCGGTGGCTTCTGATTGCCCTTCTCTGCAGTGCTTTGCCACGAAGGGGAAAGGAGAGGTGGGGGTGTGGTAGAAGGGGTTGGGTGTGGGGGCAGGATTGTCTCTGGCCACGGAGGACCCCGGGGGACTTTGGCCAATGCCTGGATTGTCAGGGAGGCAGGCGCAGGCAGGGCCCGGGAGAGCACAGGCGTAGAGACCAGAGCAGGAAGGCTGCCCGGGAGTAAAATATGCAGAGGTGACCTAGGACTGGAGACGCTGAGTCCTTGGATCAGGACGTTTCCAGTCACCCTGAAAAGTGAGCGTGATATGCCAAGCAAATCAGATCAAGGTCTTTTCAGCCTCCCTGGGTCATAAATCCTCTCTGTGCACCAGGAGCCTTCTGTGTGCAAGGCTGCCTGCCAGGCCTGGGCTGTTGAGGTGACCGGAGTAGACACTGTCCAGGTGATCCACGCAGAGAGCTGTGACACAGGCTAGGGCCTGGGCAGACGTCAGTGCTGAGGGAGGGGTTCTCTCTAACCTGAGGGACACAGCAGGGGACATTTGATCTGAACGTGGAAGGGCAGGTGAGATTTGGGAAGAGAAGGAAGGGCATTTGAGTAGGAAAGCCCAGCACCCACCGGGAATGGCAGAGGTAGTGGGGCTGGAGTTCAGAGCACGGAGTCACACCCACAGAGCACAGATGCCTCGGACACCGGGAGGCATTGCAGGGCTGTGAGCAGGGGAGTGCACTGACCAGGGATGCAGTTTAAGAAGGTGAAGGTGGCAGGGTATAAGAGGATTCATTGGAAGGTTGAGGGATTGAAAATGGAAAACTATCACAGTGAATGAGTGGGTAATCAGAAATCAGTAACCCACGCAGGAGTGGAAAAAAAAATGAATGTCTCAAAATGACTTCTGGTGAACTCCATGCGGACAGCACAGCATGTGCCCAGCAAATGCTTTTTGAGAGAATAAATGGGAAGAGACTATGAAGAAAGAACCACCAGTGACAATCCAGGGAGCCTGAGGTCAGGAGCCTGGGAACCTGGAGGAACAGGGGGAACCAGGAGGACGAGCAGGTGGGGTCAGTACGGATATTGAATGACTTGGAAGCTCGGTCACAGCGTGGAGGGCCCCGGTACACTGGCATGGGAGCCTGGGGTGGGGGCTGTTTCTATATCTGCAGGGGTTGGTGGGGTTAAGGTCTCTGCTCTGGGCCTACTCCCCCAGGTTCTGAAGGATTCCGGCCCTTTGGCCCTGTTTCCACAGACTTAGAAATCACACCCATGGAAACCATCAGCACCACTGTCTTATCTACACTAATAAAAGGATAGTATGCTAATTAGACTGGGAGACCTTCCAGGAGACTTCCTGATGTTCTTCTGGACAAAGCCATGGTGGCGGGGCTGAGGTAGAGGCAGTTAGAGGCCAAGAGGGGAGGGCAGTTGTGGGTGATCAGGCTGGTGGTGGTGGTGGTGGGGCATTGGGGGTGATCAGGCCTGTGGGGGGGCAATTGGGGGTGAGCAGACCAGCAGGAGGGCCAGTTGGGGGTGAGCAGACCAGCAGGAGGGCCAGTTGGGGGTGAGCAGGACAGCAGGGGGGGGCAGTTGGGGGTGAGCACACTGGCATGAGGGGCAATTGGGGGCGAGCAGGCTGGCAGACAGAGTGGTTAGGGGCAATCAGCCAGGCAGTCAGGTGAGCGGTTAGGAGCCAGCAGTCCCAGGTCACAAGAGGGATGTCCAACTGCCGGTTTAGGCCCAACCCCTGTAAACCGGCAATAGGACATTCTTCGAGGGGTCCCAGATTGGAGAGGGTGCAGGCTGGGCTGGTCAGGTGCCCGTGGACACCCTTCCCCCCTTCTCTCCCCCCCCCCCCCCCCCCGCATGAATTTCGTGCTCCAGGCCTCTAGTGTTAGTAATAATTTGTGATATTTGTCAAACACCTTCTGTGTTTTAGTGCTTTTCCATCTCATTGGATCTTACAACATTCTGTGAGTATTAGGTCCTATTTAATGTCTTACTTTTCCAGTGGAGGAACCTGAAATTCACACACGTGCTAAGTGATGGGGCTGGGATTTGAATCCAGGTTTCTGGCTCTGGAGCTCTCACTCCTAACCTCTGTACACTGCCATTCACACGAGGATGGGCCAGCCACTGGTCAGAGAGGGAAGGGGTTGTGTGGAGGCTTAAGGTGCCTCTGATAATGTCTTTTTTTGGGGGTGGGAGTGGTCAAATGGCAGCTTCCATGTAATATTTGAGGCTTGAAAGGGACCTTGGAGATAATTTGGTTCATTTTACAGGAGAGGAACTAGGGCTCAGGGCATTTGCACGCATGCTCCGAGTGACCTGGTTGATGGCATTTGACGACTTCCCATCTTGTGATGTGCCAGCCTGGCTGGTCAGGTGCCCGTGGGCACTGGCTTATCTTGGACAGGTGGCCACCTCATGTGCCCTGTCCTCCCTCCGTCAAACCTGAACTGAAATGACCTTCCTCAGCCTTGGCCTCACTCTCCTTCCTTCTCCTCCTTCCCTCAGATTGACAAGTATCTCTATGCCATGCGGCTCTCCGACGAAACGCTGATAGATATCATGACTCGTTTCAAGAAGGAGATGAGGCATGGTCTTTCCCGGGATTTTAATCCGACAGCCACAGTCAAGATGTTGCCAACGTTTGTAAGATCCATTCCTGACGGTTCAGGTGAGTCTCTCAGCCAGAGATTGGCCCCAAGGGCTGAATGCTCTGTGAAACATCATTCCAACTTTCATTTATTTGTTCGTTCATTCACTCATTCATTCATTTACCCTTTCATCCATCTGTCTGTTCATCCATCCATCCATCCATCCATCCATCATAGGTCTACGGAGCATCTACAAGGCTGACCTGCCCTCATTGGCCTGTCTACTGTGTTTCCCCGAAAATAAGACATCCTCCGAAAATAAGACCTGGTGCATAGAAAAATAAGACATCCCCTGAAAATAAGACCTAGCGCATCTTTAGGAGCAAAAATTAATATAAGACACTGTCTTATTTTCGGGGAAACAGGGTAGTAGCTTGTGATCAGAAAGGGTGATATTTGTGGGTCTTACAGATGCTGTGTAAGATCTTAGACATGCTTGTCACCAGCACAGGAAAGGCTCCAGAAGAAAAGAAGAGTTCATTTTAGGAGAATCTCTCCATCAGGGCATCAAGGCCTCCCTTCAAACAAGGAGCAATCCTAGTGACTGGTGGGCCTCCCACTCAGAGGGGAGATTCGAGTCCCCATCTGAACAAATGGTATAGATGCTAAATCAGGGTAGCCCCAAGGCAGGCAAAGGCCAGGGGTGAAAGGATGGAAGAAAGAAATGATCCTGTTAGTGTGTGTGTATGGCGCATGGCCCTCAGTGGGGAGGGAGGTGGGGGGGCCTCAGCCCCTGGACTCGGCAGGGTGGCGGCCGAGCGGGCACAGCCTGGCCTGCGCCCGGAGCTGTTCTGCCCAGCAGGCCCGCAGTTCGTAGTTTGCAGGGGCGGGTGCTGTGCCTGCCCAGTCTGGGCAGGAATCCCGCTCTGAGCTGTGTCCTGTGCTCGAGGCTGGGACTCAGCTGTGTGTGAGAGAAGGAAGAAGGAAGTCACGCCCCGAGAGCCCGGCCCTCATTCCCTGCTCCGGAGGCTCCTGGGAAGCTGGGATTTGGGACGGCTGGCATGCAGCCTGCAAAGTGGATGTCAGGAAACCGCAGCGGTGGCAGCTGATGTGCACAAAAGACGGCAAGGACAGGGCTGGGGGGAAGTCCTGCGGTGCCTGAGCGGCCTTTAGAAGCCGGGAGGGTTTCCATGCGAAGGAAGAACGTGCGCTGGGTGGCCACCGGCGGGCTGTGCTCCGGGCACACACACTGGCATTTGCATCTCTGATGGCTCTGGACTGTTTAAAATCCACTCCACCTCCATCTTTGGGTTCTCCCTGAGGGCTCGTTACCTGCAGTTCGGGGTTTTGTTAACTACCAAAGAGATCTGGCCATCGGGGTGGCTGGACTGCGTGCGGTGTGCCCTGGGCTTTGTTCTGATGTCTCCGGCTTTGTAGCTCACCTCTGCTTTTCCCCAGCCCTGGATGGTACTCACATCTGGGAGCATTGGAGCCTTTCGGATTAGCTGGTGGAGTTCTGTAGGAGAGGTGCAGCTGTGTCTGCTGCCAGCTGAGAGGGGGGGGGGGCATGGCACCCCGTTACTTGGAAGAGCTCAGAAGGACACCCGTTGTCTTCAGGGCACTGATTCTGTGTTATTGGCCCAAAACTAACACAGCCAAGGAGCAGAGATGCCTTCCCTGCCCCCGCCCCTCAGCCAGCTCCCCATCCTCAGACGCGGCTGTGGGCAGGGGTTCTCTCCCTCACCCGCTCCCCAATCATTTCCAAGTGGAGGGGCTCAGCGTGTGATCGAAGCACACTAGTCAGCGAGCCGTTTGCCCCGTCAGCTGCTCTTCAAAACAAGGCTCAGGATTCAGACTCGCTTGGGAAAGTCAGCACTCTGCAGCCCCGTCGTAGAGATGAATTTGTGACAGACACCGAATAATACAGACCGTGACCGTCCTGCAGGAAAAAAACCAGCTTAACCTGCGCACTTGCCTTTTCCCCAAACCTCTGATCTCCCACCCCCCCATATTTCATCTATTTTTAGATAATTTTTTCTTAAATATCTCTGAAATCAATGTATTGTACAATGACCACACCTCATAGTTATTACTGGCAGCAGTTTTTCTTTCTTCACGTTATGTGAAACGATGATGTGTCTCGCCATCAGTGGTGTCTTCAGAGGGATGACTTCAGAGGGATGACAGATGTGGCCCTAAGCCATGCCAGGGTCACTGTCCTAGGGCTTGTGGGACAGGAGCCAGGAGCCTGGGCCCCAAAGACTCCCTTTGAGCCTCTTTCCTCCCCGTGTGGATGGGGCCAGAAGCTGAGGGCAGTCTCTGAGGAGCACAGAGCGGCGTTAGGAGCAGGGGAGCCCTGGCTGGTTTGGCTCGGTGGTTAGCGTGCCCGCCCGCCCACTGGAGGATCACGGATTCTCTTTCTGATCAAGGACATATATCTTTGTTGTAAGTTCCCCAGCCTTGGGAGGGGCTCATACGGGAGGCAACCGATCGGTGTGTGTCTCTCACGTTGATATTTCTATGTTTCTCTCTCTCCCCTCCCACCTTTCTCCCTTCCACTCTTCCTAAAAAAACCAATGGGAAAAACATCCTTAGGTGAGGATTAAAAAACAAACAAAAACAAACAAACAAACAAAACAGGAGAGCCCTATCTGGTTTGGCTCAGTGGATAGACCATCTGAAGGGTCCCAGGTTCAATTCTGGCCAAGGGCACTTGCCTGGGTTGTGGGTTTGATCCCCCACAGTAGGGGGCATGCAGGAGGCAGCCAATCGATGATTCTCTTTCATTGATGTTCCTATCTCTCTATCCCTCTCCCTTCCTCTCCGAAATCAATAAAAATGTATTTTAAAGAAAACATCACAAAAGCGAAACAGAAGGAGAGGGAGGAGGCGAAACCAAAACCGTGATGTGCGAGGACCCACGTGCTGTGCAGAGGGCCTGGGTCTGCTCCCCTGTCCTCCGGGCCCTTCGCCTCCCATCCCACCCTCACCTGCTGCCTCTTTTGCCCTGTGTTTGCCTCCAAGGCTGCCCTAGGACGCGCTGGTGGCTTTTCATAACAAGAACACACTGCTTCACAGTTCTGGAAGCTACAAGTCCAAAATCAGGGTGTCGGCCGGGCCAGGCTCCCTCTGAGGCTTCGGGTAGGCACTTCCTGGCCTCTGCTAGCCTCTGCTGGTGGTCTGGTGTTCCTTGGTTTGCACTGTGTCCTCCATCTGTCTCTGTCACCACACGGTGCTCTCCCTGTGCCTCTGTCTTCACACCGCCATTTTCTTCCCCTAAGGATCCCGGTCAGAGGAGACCCACCCTGAGGACCTCATCTTAACTTGATTACTTCTGCAAGGACCCTGCTTCCACCTAAGGCCATGCTTCTCAGAGTACGGGTTAGGGCTTCAACAGTGCAGCCAAACACCCTCTAGCCTTTCTCCCAATGGCTGTGCCTATTGTTCATGGGGGGCGGGTTCAGATCAGGTGCCCTGGGGCCCACAGTCTTCTTGGAACGGCCCTGACAGCCCCACCCTGACATTGACATTGATGCCCAGGCCTCGGAGACCTGACCCGCGCCCAGTCCCTGCCCTTTAGTGACAGGTGCTTCCCCTTCCCCTCCCCTGCTTGCTTAGCAACCAAGAACCAAGCAGGTCCCTCGGCGTCGTCAGAATGCTGGTCTCCTTCGTTGTAAACCATGGTGCTGTTCCCTTTCCGGAGTATTAATTACTGCTTCAACGGTGTAATTAATTAGTGAGCAGCAGAATTAGCGGCAGCCCCAAACCACGGAAGGACAGGCTGGACGCGCCCCACGGAGATTTGCTCCCGCCCTCCAGCGGCGATGTGACCTCCACGGACAGGGAGAATCTAACTTTCCTTTCCCGCCCACCTTCCCCTGGTGGGCTGGGCTCAGAGTTTGGAAAATTACTGATTTTTTTTTTGTAACTGTATTGGCCCGTTTTTATTATTATTATTTTTAATCTTTGGACATTTTCTTACGGGTAGTGGCTTTTCTTTAATAGCTCTTCAGTAATCTGTACATTAAAAAATTGTAAACCCTAAGGGGACTTTTAGCGGCTGCATGTCCTTCTTGGGATGGGAAAGATGTGGATAATAAATAAAAGAAGGAAGATAGAAGCCTTTTTACTCTGATGACGTGGCTGAACAGAAGTCTCCTTCCCGAGACCCTGGTCACTCTGCTTCATTTGTAAAGCCTTTTCTTTCCCTTTTTTTTCTTCTCTTCTCATTCATCCTTAAGAATATTATAAATACCAATTATATTGTAAGCTATTGAGGGCAGATTGAGTTGAATATTTCTTTGTTTTAGCTTCATGGTTCCTAGCACGCTCTATCCAAAAGGGTAATTAAAAAAAACAACACATTTGATTTGTGGTGCAGTCACTGTTAGTTCTTTTTCTTTCACTGTTAATTTTTTGAACTCACTCTGTACAGAGTACTGCTGTCTAGCCAAAGGGAGGGAAATGTTTACTTTCTTTTCATTTGGGCTGGACACTTATCGGTGTCTGACTCAGTTTCCTTATTTGAGAAGACGGTTGGATGATCTCCAAGTCCTTTCCACCTGTGACATCTCCGGAATGCCCGCGTTCTAGTTGGTTTTTCACTCACCAGGTTTCTGGATTGCAGACAGGAGGGAAAGCCTTCGCGTTTCAGAGTTAATTCGCTGAGCAAGGCCAAGGCAGGCATTTCACGAAAGCGCCGTTTCTGTTTGCCCTGTATCCCAGCACAGGCCTGGACTCAAGAGCGACATCTGTCCCGTGTTTGCTTTCTATTATTCGCCGGTAATAATGGCTGTCATTAGAAAGTGGAGAGTTGCCAGGGGCCCTTCAGATGCTTTGTTTAATGAGCCTCCTCTAGAAGAGCCGTTCTCCGAGCTTCTGTGGAGATGGGAAATGTGGGGAGAAGTCGTAAGCCAGAGGCACCAGCAGCAGGAAGGAAGGTCGAGGCCCAGGATTTGAAGAGGAAGTCGGAGGAAAAGCCCGCCACTACAAAAAGAGGCCGGAACGGAAAGAAAAATAGATACAATAAAAGCCTAGAACACGGGGTTAATCTCTGGCTCTGCTGCTCATTACCTGTGTG